TCGGCGTTTACGACGGCCAAAATAAATTATTAGAGTTTGCATTACCCCAAATGAAATTTTAATTAAAGAATAACAATAATAAATAATTAAAAGTGCCACTTCAATGCCGGACAAATGTCACGCTTGTTGAAATAGGTTGTCCGTCGCACCATACCGCCCACCAAAATTTTAATATCAAAGCCTGATCGTCATGTAAAAGCCCTCGTGGACCCGACGCGGTCATTTTTCAAACGTTGTAACTTAGACAACGAGTGCGTATATGCAAATCTAATGGATGTACCACAATTGAAATATAGTTGTGAATGTCAGATGAACGCTATCAAATAATAATTAGTGCATGTCAGAGACAGAATGTTTGCACAGACACGGCTATAGATCATGGTTATGTACAGTTCCTAAAATTGTTTGTACAGCATAATACATGACACGGCTTCCGATTCATTAATCGGAACGGTAGCCTGCTTTGAACGTTTTATCTCGTCATACATACGCCAAATAACATCTAGAACATGCTTACTATTCATAGATTCGTAACGAGATGTCAAGTTTATTTACTTTGCAATCAATTACACAGTCACCCCGGCAGACAAACCTGCCGCCTGCGGCGGCGTAAACATAGTGAAAATTTCCAAAACTGTAGGTGCAGGGTCCAAGAAATGCGATTTTTTGATCCAAGCACGCTAAAAGATTAATGGAAGAAAATTTCCAGCTCGAGATAATCGAGGAAGTATTTTTTGTTTTTGATACAAAACTAATTTGAAACAAGATTGTAGAACGAGCGAATCGCAAAAAGACCAAGATACACAAAGTTTTAAATCAATAACTTGTTAAGGACGTAATATTAGAGAGATATTAGGTGATCATGGGGTGCTTTTCGAGTTTGTGCACTGATATTGTTTTGCAGGAAAGGTGATGAAGTTTTCTACGATATTTGCACTTCGTGAAAATTTAATTTGGCAGCAATGTGCAAATACGCTGCCGTGGGAACGCTTAGATGTAATAATCTCTTTTTGTAAAGTGATTTCTATTTCCTGCACATTTCATGACCTCTAGAGGACGAAAAAGTAGGTCTCACATTTCCGACCATCTGTCTGTCTCTCTGTCTGGCGTCTGTCCGAATTTTTATTACATAAATATTTCCGAAACTATTGGACCGATTTTTGTCAAATATTATATGTGTATTGGGAGTATCGTGTAAATCGTAAAACTTTTCCTTTCTATAAAATAAGATATTCCGTCACATGTGGTTCACATGTGATGTATGAATCCGTTATGAATTTTTACTCTAAATATCCAGATTTTTGGAAAAAAAATCGAAATTATTTCGCAATTTAACTTTCAAGTTGTAAAACCGAATTCTTTGACTTTTTAAGGTTTTTAAGGTAAATCGTTGATCAAAATTTAGTCGTTTACCCTTTCCAAAAAATTAATGGCCTCATCTCAAATGATATATCAATTCAATATTAATGACGTCATTAGAAAATTTTGTAATGGAAAATTCACTTGAAACATTCATATCTTTATTTTAACTTATGAAGGTTACCAAAAAATGAAACTTGCAAGACCAAACCTTACAGTTTTTCGAAAAATCTGGATTTAGTTACCTTTGACCAATTTGTTGATGTCACAATTTTTCGTTTTTTAATTTTCTTTCATTTTCAATTTTTCAGTGTTTCGGTATCATAATTTTTTGTTTTTTCAAGCTAAATTTTTAGAATTTTTCAATTTCTATACTTTTTTTTTGATTTGCAGTTTTTCAATTTTGCAATTTTTCGATTTTTCAATTTCCCATTGTTTAATTTTAGATTTTTATATTTCTCGTTCCGGCAGTTTTCCAAGTTCTTGATTTTTATTTTTCATTTTCCCGTTTTTTTCTAATTCATTTTCTCGTTTTTTCATTTCCTTTATTTTTTCAATGTTTCTTTCGATCTTCTAATTTTTTGTAAATTCAATTTTTCAATTTTTCAATCTTTGATTTCTCGGTTTTCCAATTTTCAAATGTTTCAATTTGATTACTTTAATTTTCAATCTTTCCATCTTTCAAATTTTTTTATTTTTTATTTTGCCGATTTTTTTATTTTATTTTCTCGATTTGATATCACAATTTCTCATTTTTCATTTCCTCTATTTTTTCAATGTTTCTTTCGATTTTAAAATTTTTTCTTCATTCTATTTTTCACAATTTCAATCTTTGATTCCTCGGTTCACCAATTTTCACATTCTTTAATTTTGCAATTTTTGAATCTCTGAATTATCTGAATTTCCGATTGCTTTAATTTTCATTCTTTCCATTTTTCAAATTTTCGTTTCAATTTTTCAAGTTCTTAAATTTTATTTTTCATTTTTCCGATTTTATTTTATTTTCTCGATATTATAACACAATTTCTCAATGTTTTTTTCGATTTTACAACTTTTTCTTTATTCAATTTTTCAAATTTTCAATTTTTGATTCTTCAGTTTTTAAATTTTCAAATGTTTCAATTTTGCAATTTTTGAATTTCTTAATTATTTGATTGCTTTAAGTTCCAATTTTTCCATCTTTCAAATATTCGTCTCTTCAATTTTTCAAGTTCTTATTTTCCAGTTTTCAAAATTGTCAAAGTTTTCATTTCATCCTTTTTCGTGTTCTAATTTTTTGATTCTCTGTTAAACAATTTTGTAATTTTTCCATTTTTTTGATGCGGAAAGTTGAAAAATCTCAAAAATTGAAAAATTGAAAATTCAAAAACGAAAAATTGCAAAATGTGAAGCACTGAAGAAACTACAGATTAAAAAAATTAAAAATCGAAAAGATAAATGAATCGAAAAATTGGAAAGAAGAAAAAACAATCAAAAAGAAAAATTTAAAAACCCAAAAACTTGTAAAATCGAAAAATTAATATATAATCATCAAAATCGTAAAATCGAAAAACTGTAAGACTCAAACATTGAAAAACTGAAAGAATAAATATCTAGAAATAGAAAAAGTGAAAAATCAAATTAATTAAAAAAGTTTTAAAATCCAGTAATTGAACACAGAATTCCAAAAACGTAAAATTGAAAAAGTGAAATATTTTAAGAATTGTAATTATTATTAAGTAATTTATTACATACATATTTAAAGTGAAAACTAGAAACACTGTAAATTAAAAAAAGCGAAAAGTTGAAAAATCCAGAAACTGAAAAATCTATCTTTGAAATAACGCAAAATTAAAAAAAATAAAAATAGATAAATCGAAAAATTTAAAACCGAAAAATTACAAATCGAAAAATCAAAATGGAAAGAACAAAATTGAAACATTGAAAAATCCAATAATTGAAAAAATAAAGAAAATAAAAACAAAACGAAAAATTGCTAACCGAAAAATTTAAGAAATGAAAAATCAAAAAACTAAAAAATTTTAAATAAATAACCCGTGACTACAAAGTTGTAAAATCCAAGATCTGAAACATCCAAAAATTGGAAAATCGAAAAACTGGAAAATTTGAAAATGAAAATTCATGACTGCAAAATCGAAAAATTGCAACAGCTAAAAATTGAACATCCAAAATTTGGAAAATCGAAAAATTGAAATTTTAAAAATGAAAACTCGAAGAGTTGAAATGAAATTGAAGAAATGAAAAAAATTAAAAATTGAAAAATTGCCAATCGAAAGATTTTTAAAATTTAAAGCTGCGGCAAAAACGGTAACTAGAAAATATTCTTTTTTATTTGAAAAGTCCTTTCTATTTTTCTAGAATTTTTTTGGAAAATATTTTTTTCAGGATTGATAAGGTGTTTCAAAAAACATTTCAAATTGGAAATCTGAGAAGAAGAGTGCATTAATTTTATTTAATTTTTGAAAATATTTTAGCTGTTTGAAAAGCAAAAGTATAAAAATTTGATATCAGATTCGTAAGGCAATTTCAACATTTTTCTTTGAAAAAACTTTTTTCAATATTCGACTTGGAAAACTCGAAGAGTTTCATGTCATGAAATTGAAGAAACAAAAAATATAAAAAATTGAAAAAAAATTAAGAAACGAGAAATTGAAAACATTGAAAAACTAAAAAAATAATAGAAATTCGGAGCATTGAAAAATCGAAAAATTGTAAAAATAAACAAAAAAACCGAAACTAAAAATCGAAAATTTGAAGAAATGAAAAATTAAAAAATCGGAAGTTGAAAAATAAAAACTGAAAACTCGAGAAATTTTGAATCGAAAAATTGCAAAATCTAAAAATTGAAGAAACAAGAGAAATTGGAAATTGGCACTTGTAAAATCGAAAAATTGCAGAATAAAAACCAAAAAGCTATTATAAGGCCAATGAATGGAACAAACTGAGAGATTTTAAACTCAAAAAATTGAAAGAGTATTTAAAGATTAAAAAATCGGTGCCACGTTTTGAACTATTCCCTGAAAAATCGAAACATCGAATAATCGAAGAATTTGGAAATCGAAATATCAAAAATCCAGAACCTGAAAAATCGAGAAATCGGAAAAACAAAGAATTGAAAAATCGAAACATTGAGAAATAAAAAATTCAAAAAATCAATAAACTGAAAGAACAAAAAATTGCAAATGAAAAATTGAAAACTAAAGAAACTCAAATCGAAAAACCGAAAAATTCAAAATTTTGAAAATTGAAAAACTGAAAAAATTAAACTTGAAAGCTCGAAACATTGCAATTAGAAAAACTGAAAAAACAAAAAAAAAATAAAAAATTAAAGAATTGAAAAATTCAAGTCAAAAAACCTGCAGGGGTGTTATTTACGCCACAACTTTTTACTTTATACAGGTTATCCGAAAACAAAAATCACAAAAAAAATTATAATTGAAAGAAGCGGGATTTGTTGGGTTGCATTTTAGAGGCGTAGAAAGTTCTGTCAAAATAATTTTCGACAATTTTTTTAATACAGTGTACTCCAGAGTGTGAATGTATCATTTTTATAACTGATATATTCATAAATATTTTTCATAGAGAATGTGGCTTAAAAATTATTGAATTTTTTGAAAAAAAAGTAACTCAAATCTACTTACCACCAGTAGGGCAATCCCACTTTCTTGCAGAGCGGACACACATCCCACAAAGGCCACGATCATTATAATAATTGACGCCACAATTAGCACGTAAATACCATCATAGAACGTGTCGGCATCCAGTTTATCCAAAATGGTTCCAATTCCAGGATCGAATCTCATCCAAAGGCACAAGGCAAATATGCTGGCTCCGATCATCTAAAGCAAAAAGAAACTCATTGTTACCCAAATTACCTGCTTAAATCCAATTAAATCTTTGATATTCTCTGACAAAATTCATCCCCTTTTGAACGCCTCGCAAAAATAGCTAAATCTGCAGCCTCCTAGTTTCGCTAAGAACCCTAAACCCGTTTTTAATTATGCTTCTCCACGAAAATGTTTATTGTTTACTTAGCAGAGACGAGAAATTCGGCAATAAAATGAATAAAATGAAGGATGTTTCTGCAGAGGTGGCGTACGATTTTCGACGTAATCAGTGACTTTTACGTTTTTGCTTGGTTGCGGAAAGGGTTTGAGCACATGGACGGATTAAATAATTTGCAGAAATGTCACAAATAATAAAGCGCTGAATTAATTTTAAGATGGTTGAGAGTGATAAGAGTTGACGGGGTAAGAGTAAAAACAGAATGATGATAGATAAAGGGCGCCTTATGAAGACTTTCTAATTTAATTAAGTGCACCCGGCTGTGTGTTATTTCGACGAATTCTACTTTTAGCTTATCGATTGACCGTGGGTTTTACCAAATTTCGGGAATTTGTGCCGATCGAGTGATTAATTTAGATAATTAGTCTGTCGGCGGGGCTGCTAGACGAATTAAACGGACATTATGGATGAAATCATTATTCGGGATTAATTTATAACGCATCCGATTCATACACTTATTGTGGGGGCGGAATCCGTTTGGCGGCGGTTTCAACAAATTTGATCTTTGTCTAATTGTCTACGACATTCAGAAATGCTTTTTATTTGTTGTTGTAGAGAATATTTCCAATTTTCTTAATATTCTGTGTGCTTGTTAAGTTATCGAGTCTGTCGTGTGCTGTAGGAAAGCTTCAACATTTTAATTTAAGTTTGCTACTCATAAACTTTGTTTAAGCTCCATAACCACGACGTTCGCTATTTCAGAAAAAGAATTTCAATGAAGTAATCAATTTCTGATTCTGGGAATAATCGCAGCCTGGTGCTGTAGCAAACAGTTTGCTCCACCAGTTAATTTTCCAAGATATTTCAAACCGAATCGTCTGAGGCAAAAGTTGGATTAATCCAGCAGTGGCTACAATTTACTGCTTATGACGTTTTGTGCTTACACAAGTAGAAACTGTCATTACCAAACGACGATATATAAACTATTCCTATTTCATTCGAGCACAACGTAATCATGTTGTTTTCTTATCTTGGTCCGGTTCGCCTTAGAGACGACGGAATTTATTTCCTATGCAGTATATCTCATGTATAGTTGTCTGGAAAAGTTGAAAAAGTTTGGTAATTCAATTTCACGATGGTTTTCATCTCACGAAACTGTGGTCTTGACTGTGGAATTAGGTAATATGCGCTAGCAGCTCCAGGGGAGAAATCCTTGGAGAATTGATCTGAGAATCGGAAGGAATGGTAGATGATGTCCGGTCAGCTCGGGGCTGTACATTATGAAAGTAAACAAGCCAGTTTTACAAACATGCTGCAACGAAGATACAGTTTACCAATAGCTGGGGACACGAGATAATGCGTATTATGCAAACTAGTAAACTGTAAGTAGAGTCTGAATTTATTGTGAATTGTGTGCGGATTATGCTGAATGGAAATAACTGACCTCATTGGAATGAAGCGAGCTGCACCAATGCGTGGAAATGAAATATTAAAACCCAATTATGGCCAATTGTGCAGCGGATTCATTGGGATTGACCAGCTTTTGCACATATGGACGAGGTCTAATATTATTCAGCCAAAAACTCGACAACCTTAACAACTTCCATCGAACGCATGATTACTAACCTGCGACTCTATTAAGGAAAATTTGTCTGGTCTGGTTAAAGCGCAATCACATCTTCGTTAACAAATTTACTTTTTCAGGCAGCAAAAACGACCATGCAATTATGTACTTTGAGGTAAAATGTATTTGCAAGACGAGCCGGTCCGGAATTATGGCTCCAATGTAAAATTTAAATTTGTTTTAGTGTTGCGGCGCAGTAGTTTTTTATTTTTTTGGTCGAGCTTGCCGTCACCGAACGTTATCTGATAAAATAATGCCTCAATGAGCTGATTATCCATTGCATACAGGCGAATACACCGATCGAAGGCCCTGATTTTATGCATGCACTTGACAGGCTGCTGTTCAGGTCATTCTCATAGAATGCGGTATTAATTTAACCAAGAATACCTGTATATTAATACATCCTTTGTGGCAAATATGGTGTTAAAGTTGCTCTAGTTAATGCATTGTTAGTGTAAAAGATGTTCGAAACCAGCTTATGTCAGATAATTAAATATTTAAATAATTATTTAAACATCCTTTTCAAGTAAATGTTGGTTATGGTCGTGTAGATGAGTAAAATTTGCAAAATAACCCCCACCAACAATTTGATGACGTCACCTCAAAACTTTACATAGTAATACTCCTTTGGTGCATGAATGCTCCGTGATTTTTATCATAATTACGCAGCCAACAAGTACGTGGTGGCCCAGTAGTTACAATTTTAAACCAATTTTTGTTACTTAAAACATTAAGTCTTAACCAAAATTTACTATTTACTGACCAAATTTCGGCGTCATTAAGTACAATTGTTGAAACTATTGAATAATCTAACCGAAAAATTGTCTCCCAAAAAGTAAACGTTTCCATCTGGCAAACACACTTAACTCAGGAATTAGACTTAAATCACCTCCAAAAATTAGTTATATTTGTAACCTACAAGTGGATACTATAAGAGTAGTTGATCCTGAGAAAGCATAAATTTTATAACCCAAACAGTGGCCAATTAATTTTTACAATGTAACACTAATTGTTTTGTCAATTTTCTGATTTTTTTGCGAAAATTGAACGCACAAAGTCATATTTTCGTAATTTAAAAGAAATTATTAAAAACATTAGTACTTTGCTAAAATAATTGGCACCATAAATAAAATTAAAAACATCTATTGGAACTATTTCACATTTTTTTCATCAATTTTATAATACGGTTTAGGTTCTAAAGTGTTTAATTTGCGGATTACTGCTACAGGTGTTTCGTACACATTACCTTCATCAGGCAGATTAACTTTGCTGCAACCAAAATTGTACTTCAGACTTTGTTAGTTGTTATGTAATGGGGGTTCTAAGACAGTTGGACCTCATTTGACCTGTTCTAGAGCCCCCATTACTTTCTAACAGGTCGTTGATCTGTCCTAGAACCCCCATCATCGACCGATTAGTTCGACTAGTTTTAGGAGCCTGATTAATTTTTGTCGACCAATTTTGTCTGTCTTAGGATCTCCATTTTTTTGTCAGCGAATTTGATTTGTCTTGGGACCACCGTCACTATTTATGGAACAATTTGGCCTGTTTTAGGACCTCACTACGACGGCCCGAGCTTGTCGACAAAAATGATGGGGGGTCCTAAGACAGGTCAAATGGTCGACAAAAAGTAATGGGGTCCTAAAACCAGTACTATAAAAATGTTCGACAAAAAGTAACCGGAATCCCAAAAGAGATCAATTGGTCCACAAAAAGTTATGGGGTTACTAGAACAGCTCAAGTTGGTCAACGGAAAGTAGTGAGGACCTAATCGAATTCAAATTTGTCGACAAGAAGTAATGGGAGCCCTAAGACAAGCCCAATTGGTCTACAAAAAGTAATGGGGGTCCTAAGGTAGGACAAGTATTCGATAAAAAGTAATGTGGGTCCTAAGATAACTATATGAACCGGTCTGCAAAAAGTAATGGAGGTCCTAGAACAGCTCAAATTGGTCGACAAAACAATAATAGGGGTTCTAAGATAGGAGAAATATTTGATCAAAAGTGATGTGGGTCCTAAGACAGGTGAAATTGATCAACAAAAACAATGGGGGGTCGTAAGACAGGTCAAATGGTAGACAAAAAGTAATGAACCGCTGAAATTGGTGGACGAAAAGCAATGGTGCCCTAATCCAGGTTAAATTTGTAGACACAAAGTAATGGGAGTCCTAAGACAGACCAAATTGTTCGACAAAAAGTAATGGGAGTCCTAAGACAGGTCAAATGTTCCACGAAAACGAATGGGGGTACTAGGACCGCTCACGTTACTCAACGAAAAGGTAATGAGTTCCTAACCCAAATCAAATTTGTCCACAAAAAGTAATGGGAGTCCTGCAACCAACCCAATTACTCGACAAAAAGTAACGGTTGTCCTAAGATAAGCTAAATATTGACAAAATGTAATATGGATCCTAAAACATGTCAAATGGTCGAAAAATTGAAAGTAATGGGAGTTTTAGAACAGCTCAAATTTTTCGAAAAAAGTAATAGAGATTTTAGAATAGCTCAAATTTGTCGACAAAAAGTAATGAAGGTTCTAAGGGATGACAAATATTCGATAAAAAGTGATGTGAGTCCTAAGACAGGTCAAATTAGTCAACAAAAACAATGGAGGATTATAAAAAACGTAATGGGGGCCTTAGGACAGCTGAAATTGATGGACAAATAGTAATGGGAGTCCTAAGACAGACCAAATTGGTCGACAGTCCTAAGACAGGAAAAATATTCGATAAAAAGTGACGTCTACAAAACGGAATGGGGGTCCTAAGATAGCTAAAATGGTCGACAACAATTAATGGGGTCCTAAAGCAAGTTCAAATGTTCAACAAAAATCGGGATCCAAGGACAGATCAAATATTGACAAAATGTGATGTGGGTCCTAAGGCATGTCAAATGGTCTAAAAATTAAAAGTAATGGGAGTTCTCGTACAGTTCACATTGATCAAAAAATGTAATAGGGGTTCTAGAACAGCTCAGATTGGTCGACAAGAAGTAATAGACTTTCGAAAGTAAAATAGTCGACAAAAAGTAATAGAGGTCCTAGAACAAAATTGGTCTATAAAAAGTAATGAGGTTCTACGACAGGACAAATTGATCAAGAAAAATGATAGGGGTCCTTAGACAAGTCATTTTGGTCGACAAAAATGATGGTGGTTACAAGGACAGATCAAATTGGTCAACAAAAACTAATGGGCTCCTAAGGCAAGTCAAA